CCTGACAGACTGCAAGCAAAGGTGACATATCTCTCTAAGAACCACAAGCGGAAGGCTTTAAAGAAAAAGCTTATTCAAGCTACCTCTACTTAATGAATGTTTTAGATCTCCTTCTATAACGTCCGAAAATCAGATGCACTTTTCTGAAAGTACTCTATCAGCTTACCCTTTACTGACTGTTTCAAAGCCGCAGAAAGAATACTTCCTGAATGTTCCTTTATATTGATTGCATACGGCAAGCGGGCGCTTTCTAGACATTATCCACACTTGCCACGGGCTATTGCAAAAAAATCCTTAACATTTACTTGACTTTGGGAAAGAAGTGACAGTTTTCTAAAAGAATTATCATCAATGCACCGTTTAACAAGTTAAACCACGAAACAACGTGCGTATGCAAGCATTGAATGAAAAAGAGCTGAGGGCAGTTTCCAGGATCCATGTACTGGTTTTCGTCCTTTCAGCAAAGGTAATGCATTTGTGGGTGGGGATAAAGCCTTCTTAAACTCAGTACGTGGAATACTGCACGCAAATAAAAAGAATAGAATCAGCTTTCCTTTGCCAAGAGGGTCATATCTCATGTTTGACCGTCTAAGCTGCCCCAACTACGGTAAGCAACTAGCGTTTTGGCAACAGACTTTATCGTTACTCTTAAAAATATCTATAATTACTGTTAATTATAAGAATATTTTAAAGGCGTTTAGAAAGAGTTGCGCTCAAAATATTTTGATCAACTATTTTCAGATAGAGCCGTCTTGCACTGCACTCTGGGACCACAGCGGCACTCCGAAAGCGTGCCTCTATTAAAGCCTCTATTAAATTTACATATTATATGAAATCATAAAAAGGCAAAGGGACAGTGTAATTCGAACAGTGTGCCCGGCTCCATAAGACAGCCAGTTTTCATGAATCTGAATGTAGTGATGAAATACTTGGCAAAAGTCAATGTTCATGAGTCCTTTTTTTCTTCTTGTTAATATGCAAGACATTAAATTTGCTCCTTTGAAGCAAAACATATGATTAAGCACACGTACGCCTACTTAAAGTTACAATACCGTTAAAAGCCAAAGAAAATGTTGTTTTTGAAGATGACTACAAGAAAGGTTGTTGAAACGTCGGTTTAATGTCTCAAGAACAACCCTATTCAGGATTACACCCACCCAGACGATCACATTCCACCTACGTTTGAAATGACTCCTGGGCTCAAACATTAACTGTAAATGAGACAATTTCAAATTTGGATCATATTACACTTTCAGTACCCAATCAGCTTGTTTTTACTTGTTGAGAGGATTTGGCACACGCGGCTGATTTGTCAAACATTTGGAAACGTTCGTACCGCTATTTAAACAACCCCATCCAGATGTGGACAGGTCATTTACATCTTGGTTCAGCAGCCAGATGGACATCAGGAAATTTGCACTTTTTGTCTTTCTCCTAAACCTGGGGATTCTCCCTCTTACTGTAAAAGGTATGCCACTCTTCTTGTCATCGTAGGCCGTTGCAATCTGTATTTGTACGTTCTTATACCTAACAAAAGGCAAATATTACTTTTTTTTCTTTTAACATAGTTAAAAATTCTGATAATTTCATCTCCTGTAAATTAATTCATCTCGGTCGGAGACTTTCTATTTTGTTAATTATTCTTTAAGGAAAATGCATGTACTGGTATTTAGACCTCATATAAATCTAGAAGGTCTGATAGTTTCTGTTATATTTTTGAATTTCGTAGTGTTCTATTTACAAATGCAAGTTTGGGGAACACAACAAGCCCCTTCCTCTCGTTTAAGTGCACTAACCCAGTGCTTGAGCTCGCGACTAGAGTACTAAGGTCAAATTCACTTATCGATGCATTTTTCCATCTCACTTGATGTGCCAGTTTCTATACATCTCACGATCGCGAGTTTCCGATGGATTAATTTTTTTGTTGCAACTCTGTTCTTCAAAATATAGTACAGTCTGTTCAGTCAGCGGGCTACCACTTGGATTGAAGGAAAACGAAACAAAATTGTAAACACAGACAGGTGATCTATTCTTGATACGATATTTCATATCCTCCATCAGAAGACCAACAGTTTGAAGATTTCAGATCTAGATTTTGCCAGTGGGGTGAGATCTTTGAAATCAAATTAAACCTGCTCTTTACACTCCACACCCACATTCTGACGCAGCACGAAAGTTTTAATCCATTTCAAACTTTCGAAGGCCACAGTGATATCTGGCGGTTCATCAACCCTCCTTTTACAGAAAACCTTAAACGAGTTTTTATTCTTTGATTTTCCTATTTCCGAATCAGTCATTCCCGCACTTCTACCGATGTTCAGATTTCCTAATTCGAGCAGCTCTGTTTTAATCCAATCAGAGATAACTGTCATTGCGGGCTACCCTTTTGGTGCAAGGAACCGAGCTTACTCGACACATTGTGTGTGCGCGCGAAGCAAAACGGTAATCAGTTCATTAATCAAGACATTTATATAGATTTGCTTTCAACAAGTGGAGTACCTGAACATGAACGAAAAAAAAAAAAAAACGAGGGTAGACAAACTCGGACTCAAAACAAGTCTAAAGAGAGTTATTACAGTAGCTATACTCCGAGTTTGCCCTTTGGACCGCCACGATCTTTATTAAATCAGGGACCGCGCAGCAAGTTTTTGAATTGGGGGGCTAAAGAAGAATGCGTGTGGGCTGGGCCGGGAGGGGCATGCTTGTGGATTTCTATTCAATTTCTCTAAAGTGACGGAGAATGCGAGTAACGATAAAACTATTGATTTTTTTCCACATCTTCAGTGATGTTGCTATCGTGTCTGAAAATTCACCATCACTAAATTGAAATATCATAGATTGTTCTGTTATACTACTGATAATATATAGATTTAGCCAGGGCTAAAAGCGAAGCTCCCATTAATAAATTTATATTTTAAATCAAACAATAAACTTGTAATCCACAAATCAGTTAACTTAAGGGCACATTCTTATTTTAGAGTGAAACATCTTACATCGAGTTGATAGCCTAAATATACATGTATGTACACCCAAAAAATAGCAAACATCTTCTATCACATTCAAGAGCCATAATGGCTATTGATCACAGTAGATTAGGCCTCGAAAATAAAATATTGGAAAACAAATCAGGCCGCCCTTTTTTTGCGTTCGACAGGTTTACTTTACAAATTCTTGCCAACAAATCTGAGGGTGTGTAAACCTACCTTTTATACTTTTTATACATCACATCTGAGGTGAAACAGTACAGACCTCGGACAGCATACAGCATTTCACAATTTTTCAATGTTCAGGACGATCAATCGTGGGCTTTTAGCGCAACCGTTCAAAAAATTTCCAAAATCACCCATACGGCCTGCCGGTTCTCATTTTTAGTGCGAGATGTCAGTGTGGTCGAGTGTTTGAATGAACTTTAATGGAGATACGCTTCAACATAATAACGAATTTATTATCATTATTTTTTGTTATTTAATGGTTCCAGTTATAACGATGTGTAATCTTATAAAGCGTTTGATACGCGCGACATTTCTAAGTACTCCTGCAAGCGATGTTCATGAACTATGAAACCAAACACCACGGACAAGCGATTAAAATTGCAAGAGAGACTACTAACAATCAATAAAAGAAATATAATTCGGTAAAACATTTACAGAGACAACAATTTTCATTCACGAAGACAAGTATTAAAGTGTCTCTAAAAACCCTGAGTCTTTAAGCTTAAAGCTTAAGCTTAAGTTTATTTTGTTTTACTTTCAGCCGGCCTCCCGGTGTTTGTTTTTTTTTTTTCAAAGATGAACTCCTCGAAGCAAGAAAATCACTCAAAGTTTTCTTTCTACAGCTAAATTTATAACTAAATATTCTTCGGAACGTTTCTTTCCTATTTGCCGTGAGAAAATATATCTGAAGGCCTTTTAAAGTTCTGTAAGCTTATATCAAACCTGATACTAGATCAGATCATTGACTCAAATCTTAACAAACGTGCAAAAACTTGCCGCATAAACTGTGCTCGACTTTCCATTCGAGATTCAGTTCCTGAAAGATATCAAGGAAGGCCATAGTTGCTTGAGACTTTTAAACCCTCTTACGCATTGAGCAAGGTGAAAGACGAAAACGATGCCATCCGAAATCCGATTACCCAATTTTGACAAGCGACGGATTTCTCAACCAAAAACCCAATAAACAAACCAGCCATGGATAACAGAAGACTTTTGATAGCAGCTATATTTCATTTTGTACATCCAGTGGAAAAAGACAGTTAAAAACATCACAAGTTGAGACAAAATTCTGTCAGCTTTAGCTGTCAAAGTAAACAACTTTCAAGATGCTGCAAAAATTTTCCGCATGAACTCACCTGTCAAATTTTGACCAATCAGAGTACAAAAAGTGGATGTAGAGCGTGACCAATGCGTGACCATGGTAAGAAAAGGTCTTCCCGCCTTTATTTTTACAGAAGTGGCTGAATTTTCGCGTCCGAGGTCAGTTTGAAATCAAAATCTTGACAGTGCGGGGCCATAGTGACATAAACACAACATATTTCATATGAATCATTGGGTAAAATAGACTTGAGCCTGCGATCATTTGAAACTGGTAATTTGTCAGCGGATAACTTCAAAAAAACACTCGACCTCGATGGGTCGACACTTGAGCCCGCGCTACGGTCAGGTGATACTGGTCAGCGGATATCCTGTTTTCACAGCTGTCAATTGATCACAACATTGATGTGCAATTAGTTTTCTATTGGGCTCCCAAACTAGCTAGAAAGTGTGAGAGTAAACATTGGTTTCCCTGGGGTGCGGACGGACGGTCGGGCGTACGGTCACGTGATTACCAAAGTTTCGCGGATGGGTAGATTACCACATTCCCTTAGCTATGGGGCTCCGTCACTAAATGAAGAAGAATTAATTTCCTATCTTCACATTTTAATAACACATGAAAGTTTGACTCCTCGCCTTTCAAATAAACACAGACACACCCTTAGCCTATCTTTGTTCATTTCTTTTGAAGCAACACTCCTTCTCGTTCCATCCCATACCTACACTACATTGAGACATTTTTTTTTCTATTTTAAAGGCATTTCCTATCAGGTAGGCAAACTAAACGCATCAGAGACACGTCAAGGATGGAATTGCAACAGCGGATGCAAGGCTCCACAACATTGTACACTGCCACGCTGCACTAACGTGGTATTTCCACACACGTTTAGTGGATCTGGAATCGTAAGTAAAACCTAAGGAATTAAAAATTACCGTATTTCCCCCAATAATAGCCGCGAGCGACTATTCGAGGGAGGCGATTATTTCAAATATTGCTCACTAGAAGTCGTTCCCTAAATATTTTGTTTTATTATCTATTAAATGATAATAGAAAAATAATCACATCAAATATACATTAAATATACTTTTCTAACGTTATGACCTCCGACAATTTAGTGCGCATAGGTATGTTCAAGTGTTCCCAAATCCCTAGGATGCGTGTGTTTTCAGAGAAAAAAAAATACGAAACAAAAAAAGCCAGAGAATTCTGACAATAAAAATAGGCTAGAAGACCTTTAACCCTTGGAATGGGGTAGGGAATGGAGGTGGGCGGGATGCGGTCGATTGGGAGGGGAATTAGACTCTTTTTCTTTTCAGATTTAGTGAGAGAAGTGCACCCACACACGAGCGTGGAAGCCGCCAGAAGCGCGCGAGAAACGAGGACGGCAGTCTCGCCCTTTCAGTCACGTGCGTCGTCAGTTGCGTTTCTCGCGTGTTTCGCTCGACGGATTAGGAAAAAAGAGAGACTGCTAGTAGTCTAGGGTTGAATTGTTGCCTGCAAATTTTCATTGATGCTTATCTTTACCTAACGCATTTCAGGTTCGAGTCTTTGTGTCATTAAGCCACCAAGATCAGTCATCAGATGCAGTTCATTCACCTTCCGCCGTGTGGGCAGAGTCCATAAGTACAGCTGGATTTCAGTTATGCTCGCGTGCAACAGGCTCTACAAATGACACTGGCATTATCAACTGGGTAGCATTCCAGGACAAACCCATGTTAACGCATGGAAGCGTTACTTTTAGCGGAATATGGACAACAGAAACAAAGTGTGAGAAGGTGGCCTTTTCTCAGGTTAGACAACAATAATTGATAACAAGTATTTAATTTTGTTATAAAGGTGTAAAACGGACATAGCAAAGTACATTGCTAAAAGTCTTTTTAAGCTTTCTCTCGGGCTTAGTTTCAAACTTTTCCTTCCATCGCCTTTAGATAAGCCATTTTCATGTTTTACTTTGGAGGTAGTGATTGAATAATGCTTGACCGTTTTGAATGTATTGATGTGCTAAATGTAATTTGGAAAATAGAAGTCTATTTTTTTAATGATGTTAAATTTGTGGTATTAAACTTAACAAAGTTAGCCGAAAAGGAACATTGTTGTTTGTAACTTTATTTAAGTAATGGGCCAAATAAGATGCATTCACCAACATTAATTTTCAACACTTGGTAGAAAGAGGTGAAAAAGGGGTAGAATATTGAGTTAATGGGAATAGACAAGTAGATTTAATTAATCTGCTCCCCTTAGCCTTTGATAAATCCTTAATTTCATTTAAGTACCGCTTAGTACTTCATGGATACGTTCCTGCTGATTTATCTTTCGAGAAGCTTGTTTATTTTTCAGTCAATAGTTTTTGATATATCTAAAATTTTTTTGCAGAGCTTTGCTTCCAAGCCTCGTGTATTTGTCTCTGTTAAGTACACTCGCAGTACAAAGCCAAATGACGCTATGTACTTATGGTTAGAAAACGTCAATTCTGGAGGATTTGAAGTGTGCTTAAGGGAATTCTTGCGCTTTGATGGAAAACATCAAGATGCAGTAGTGGTAAGTGAAGAAAAATGTCCGAGTAAACTGTAGTATTGATGAAAACAAACAAACAGACAAGCAAACAAACTTGACTTTGCCACACTTCGGCAGCCCGGAAACCCAATTACCCAATACGTTTTTGAAGCAATTAAGGTAGTGTCGTGTCTCACGTGTCTCATGCATTCATTTCTTGTTAAAGGAAACCGGTGGTTCGAAACCTGACGCAACTCGTCTTGTAAAGAAAAGGGTAGCAAATTAAACATCATTTTCTTGTCCGCAGGACTGGTTTGCATTCACTGGAAATGGGAGTGAACTTAATTTCACAATAACTGGGGAAGAAATCTTTCCAAACAGTGGAAATCCATCGGCCAAAAACAACTACGGCTTCTGTCAGGTGAAAACTTTAGTTCTAACAAGAACATTTAGCACAAGCCAAAGAACACTGAATTTTTAGTGGCTAAGTTCACACTAAAGAAAACTTAAAATACAGTAAACCCAAGCTTACCAGGCCATGGTAATCGACATTGTATCCAAAATGGCAATTCCCAGATGAGCGCGACATGTTTATCTCGCGATTTTGATGTGCGCATATTTCGCGATTCTTAAATTTCGTGGCTTTGTGAGAATTTTATATTTCGAATCTCTTCAATTTCGCGTTGTAGACAGTGGGCGAATATTAGAAGTGGGGACTTTACAGAAGATGGGCAAAAATAGAGGGAGAGGTGAGCACGTTCAGATCCATACTTACATGACTTTTTTTACCTATTTACAGGAAGTGCCTTTCAATACGACCTTTTACAAATCGCCAATTGTGATTCTTTCCGTAAATCATGAGTATAATCTTAAGGTCAAGGGAAGTCGTCCTCCAGAAAATAATATAATTTCAGCCTGGCTAGAGGTAAGTTTGCCTTTTTATTCGAACCTGAGAAAACAGCCCGCCCGACATTTCGCGCGACGCCACCACCAGTTTTCCCACAAAATGAGGACTGAACCCCGAAAACCCAATTTCGCGACGCAATTACTGGCTTTCCCGTGAAAAGACGTCTGTAGAAGAGTGCAGAAATTCCATACTGATGACATGTACTTCCCAGATCAAGATAGTGCTTCTGATTGGTCATGCTGCAAAATAATTTTTTTTTAACCAATCAAAAGCACTGCCTGCCCAGATCTGTGTAATGACACGTCATCAGTACGCAAGATCTGCGCTCGTTCCTCAGACGTCTTTTCATTTAAAAGCCAGTAATTGCGTCATGAAACGGGGTTTTCCTCATTGGGTTATATTCTTGATGGTCACTTGAGGTTAATGATAATGAACAGGAATTTTTCAGTGCTTTGCTACATTATTCTATTCAATTGTTTGCTTGAACTCTCACGACACCTTTGAGACCCAAAAGTCCATATCCCTTGTCCAATCAGGGGAGAGCAGAAATCTGTTTATTCTGGTAAATTTATAAAAGGACTGTGAAAACTGTGTAAAAGCCATAAGAAACCAATAATTTGGATCTGATCCATAAATTTCTTGACTTAAAGGTATCGTCGTAGAAATCAAGAAGAAATTATGGATTTTCTAGTAACTGATGAGTGCTATCACATTTTGCTGCAGGAAGTTGGATTAGAATCTATGAAGGTCTGCGTTAAAGACCTCAGTGGATTAGGATCGAGTCATGATCCCTTGATTGTCAGCTACGCTGTTACTGGAGGTTGTTTATTAATTCTCCTATTGTAATGATCACTATTTCTAGAAAGAACTATTGTCATTTTTGTTATTATTTTTATTGATATCTTTTAGAAGTTCTTATATGTAGGAATACATTTCATAATATTAATTAAAGAAACGCTGGAGTACAAACACGGATATACCTTATTCATGTTACACTCTATCTTTGCAGGCACTTCAAGATTGATGGGATAAGAGCAATTAGAGGGCACACAAGTAATAAAATTGCCAATACGAGTAGTCGAGTAATCGCGGTCGGGTTTGTTTATCCCTCAAAATAAGACGACGATTTTAGTCATGCAAAATGCAAAATGTAAACTTCGACAAGTTTTACGTCATAATTCCTTGCTGTGAAGATTTCTACTGTCGCCTACTGCATTCAAAATCACTTCCACCCATATTTTGCGATTTTCGTTTTTGTTAAGGTCAAAACTTCTTAATTTTCTGTTGTGTAGATAATTAAATAAACTCGACTGCATTCTTGTATTTACTGACTTTCTGTCTTGTTTGCCCCCTGAGAAACCACGTAACATTGCTTTAATTTATTCCACCAGTCCGAAGCGCGTGCAAAGATGGCGGGTATCGTTAATAAGGTCTACTAAGGATAAAAAAACGTCAGTTGAGGTACCTACAAGCAAACGTGTTACTACTACTGAACAGTAACTTAGTTTTAATTCAAATATGAAAAATATGTTAGACATTTATGTTTTTTCCAAATGGATAACTACTCAATATTATGTATCTTTTTTTCTCGGTACAGACCTTAATCCTTGCCTTAATGTGCATTGCCCACGGTTTGGAGTCTGCAGGACCTATAGTGCGCATGACGCTCGGTGTAAGTGCGATGACCAATGCCCCTCATATAAAGACCCAGTGTGCACTGCAAACGGAACAACTTACGACAACCGATGCTGGCATAAGTTAAGCTATTGCAGAGGACTTGAAAATAATCTGGTCTATCACCCAGGAAGTTGTGAAGGTAACAAAAAATAATTTCAACGATTTTTTTGGCTGTATATGCCACATAGAATAGTCTGGCAGTTAAGCTCTCGATCGTTTAGAATTATAAGTGTTGGCTCAAAATTACATTGGCTTCTAGCTATGATGTTTATAACTTTTCGTTACTTTTAAGCTCGCTTTTAGCTCCCTACCAGGGTAAGCAACAATAGGCAGCTGTAACAAGCTACTTCGTCTCTCTACTTTGGCAAACGAGCATATAACAGCCCAGACTATAGCCGATGTTTGACCTGTGTAAGATCTTTTATTCTCTTTTGTCTTGCAATTTAGTTTTTCTGCGTAAAATTAGATTACACAAATTTGCTCGGGGCAAATATGGTGCAAAAAAGTGCAAAAGAGGAGGACATCAAAGACAAAGGTAGTAAATATCGCATTTACATACCAGTTTACATGGAGTTGCATATTTGAGAGCAAATGCAGTATTTACTATCTCTGCCCTTGATGTCATCCTCTTTTGCACTTTTTTTGCACGTTATTAGCACTGAGTGAATTTGCTGAAAATCAAATATTTCGCGCAGTGGCCCAATATACTGTCATATGTTTATCTTTGCACTGAAACCAGCATGCAATAATAAGCAGCCGCTACACATTTCGTTCTTTAAAGGTAGCCTACATTGCAAGTTACAGCCTAGTTTTAGTTCCATGTCCACGCTTTTTTTTTATCACCACCCTTCACCACTTAGAGTTGCACTACAACGCAAGCTAGGGAAGCTACCTAAGCGATAATGCTTAAAGAGTACAGTGATGCTTCCTTATAAAGTACTTAATTTATTACAAAACAGGTTTTCCAATTGTACGGGGCCGTGTAGATCTGCTACAGGTTCCAAAATGGTCAGATTCAAACTGTCAGACAGTCACATTTCCTCCATACCGGTTTTATCCGGATAAACAAGTTCACGTTCAAATAACGGTCAATCACATGAAGCTGAATGACTCTGTGACAGTCCACGACGCTGTTACTTCATGGACAGAAAGTATCAACACAAAAAACTTCACCGTCTGTGTCATGCAAACCGGGAGGAAAGAAGAAGGCGCGAATCCATTTGCCACCATTGATTGGGTGGCTTATCAAGGAGCACCACCCGAAGGATTGACGGGAACGGTTGAGTTGCAGAAATGGTGGTCTGGTACCAACTGCGCAGATGTAACCTTTCCTACGGTGAGATGGGAATGTACATATTAAATTAAATAATTGTTGCAAACTCAATTAAAGTCTCCATGACGAATGTTAGAATTTCATTCATGTGACATCTTTAATCCATGTCTTGAAAAAAAAAAAAAAAAACAAAACAAAACAACAACAACAACAACAACACCAAAAACAGCAAAAAAAACAAAAACAAAAAACAAACAAACAAAACAAGTAAATAATAAATAATTGGAAAATTAAGTCTTGTGACCCTTAGCGAAAACATGACAGATTTAATCACGACTTGTCTGCGTAACAAATGAAGAAAAACATCAAGAGCGAAACTGTGAAGGAGAGACGTCCTTAACATCGATTTCAACAAAATGAAGCGCTAATCTGATACAAGGAAGCAGCTTATAACAACAACAACAACAACAAAAAACACAAAATATTTGTTTACCTATTTGAATTAACTGAATGTGGAAAGACATATTAAAACTTTCCTTGAACTAGAAACATGAGACACAAAGTTAACAAAAAATAATCGATCATTACGAGGTAACTGGGGAGATGATTGCTAGATCTTCTAAAAAGTTGTGACCGACTTATCGACTTAATTAACAAGACAACATTAGGTAACAATTAAGAACAGAAACTTACTTAGTGGCTAGTTTCAAGTAATTTTGCAGCAATATTTAAAAAAAAAGCTGTTTCGATTGTTGTTATTGCTTTTTCTTTAGGGCAAGTTTGCCGAGGCGCCAATAGTCCTTGTGACGTCAGAGCACCTGAGGAGTGGTAAAGAGTATGATGCTGCTCTCATTTGGATTGAAGACGTAACTAAGGACTCAGTTAAAGTCTGTCTTCGTGAAATGCAAAACTTTGACGGAAGACACCAAGATATCACTGTGGTACGTTCTTAGTCAGATTTGGAAAAACTGGAACGCGACTGTCCACATTATTTTTCGAGGAATTCTAGTCTTGTTAACCATAACAGCGTTAAGAGGAAAAAGCATTGCTAAGTAAAGATCGTCCGGGCGATCGCGAGTGATGATCAGTTAAACGAAAGGAAATGCAGAAAGAAAAGCATAAAAAGAAACGGAAATAATGATAATAATAATAATAAGAAGAAGATTGAAGAAGAAGAGGAAGAAGAAGAAGAAGAAGAAGAAGAAGAAGAAGAAGAAGAAGAAGAAGAAGAAGAAGAAGAAGAAGAAGAAGAAGAAGAAGAAGGAGAAGAAGAAGAAGAAATGAATTGAATAGCATTGCGGGTGGTGAATTTTAAATAGCGCACAAATTGGTCTTCCTTGACCCCATGCCTCCCTTCACGCTATTACGTGATTCACCTGATGTCTTAAAAAAATGTGGATTTGCATCCTTTTCTTGACTCTTTGCGCTCTTTGTTAGGTCACAACTTCATAGAGTTCAAAATACTTAGATTCAAAGGAGCCTAAAAATGATGAGTTTATTTAAATTTTTGTTGGTGTAATACGATTCTGTCACAAGATGGGTGGCATCATGACTTTTGTTTTTACCTCTTTTCACAGAACTGGTTTGCCTTCTCTAAACTGCACAAGCCTCTTTTCACTGAACATGGTGTCATAAGCTTTCCAAATACGAACCCACCTTTGGATAAAATGAACAATGCTTATTGCCAGGTGAGAAAAGAGTTCTTTGCAAAAGCACTGAGTAGCATGCTGTTCACAGCATTTTCTCTCACAGGTATATCGCTTACTTACATCACTGTAAATATTTTCAAAACCCTTATAGTCATATACACTTTACGCAATAGAGATCAAAGTGACTAGAAAAGTAAAGAAGCTGGTTCACTAAACAATACTTTAAGACAAGAGGTCAGGAAGTACAGACCGATAACGTCCCATCGACAGAGTGTTTGAGCAACTGCTCCGTAAACAGGTGACCGTGAAACTCGACCACATCTTTTCTACACAAAGCACTGCTTACAGAAATGGACACAGCTGTGAGACCACTCTACTACGTCTGAATGAGGACTCGAAGCTAGCAATAGACAGAAAAGAGCTAGTATGTATTCCATCGACTGATACGAGTAAAGCGTTTGACTCTCTCAGCCACTCGCCGACACTAACAAAGCTTGAAGCATACGGTTTTGAGTCTTCAGCGTTGGACCTCACACGATCATTCTTTAACAACCGCCAAAATGTTCAACCCCCTGTTCTGGACACATTTCAGAATGACCTGCTCTGCTCCACTTTCGATATATGTAGACGAGCACCAGTTGTACTCCTCACGAACTAATTTTACAGCTGAAAAAGAAGCCTTAGAGAAGAAAGATCAACTTGCCGCGTTTTGGTATCGTCATAATTTTCTACTCGCAAATCCTGACAAATTCCAGGCGATGATCCTTTATAATAGAAATATTGACATTGAAGGCTAATACACTGACATAAGTATAGATGGTAGGGTCATTACAAACACAGATTACATCAAACTACTTGGCGTCCACATCGATTGCAATACGAACTTCAGTGGTCATATTAGCGAACTGTGTAAGAAAGTCAGTAAGAAAGTAGGGATATCCTAATGCGCCTGCGCAATCTTGTTCCCTGCTCAGCTGTAAGTCTTCTATAAGTCTTCCATCCTGCCTTACCTTACCTGCTGCCAGCTGGTATGGCACTTTTGTAAGGCCTCCGAAAGCAGGAAAATAGAACGTCTTCAAGAACGTGCCTTAAGAGCGGTATACAGAACTAAGTCTGCCTCTTACCAGACACTACTAAAATATCAGGACTACCCACGTTGCAAAATCGTAGATTGCAAGATATAGCTATACTTATGTACAAAGTCACGAAAAACCTCGCCCCTACCGACTTAGCAGAACTTTTTAAGTTACTAATTCGAGGTATTCTTTGCGAAACAAGGACTTTCATTTACCTACTAGATTCAATACTGTAACCTAAGCCAAACATTCATTCGTTACTTTGGACCCTTACTATGAAAGAGACTAAACAACAAGGTCAAACAATCACCTAGTCTTCAGTCTTTCAAGAACGCTATCAGAAATATAGACATTTTATTATTTCATTTTATTTTATTAGCTTCGCAAAAAAAAAAAAACAAACAAACAGAAAAAACGTTGGCAGGGACACCGCAACAGCTGTGGCCAGTTACAGTGGGCCTGGATACTAAAAAGAAAAAAAGAAAAACACGAACTAATAATAATAATAATAATAATAATAATAATAATAATAATAAAAAACAGCGACACAAGAAAAACTACAGCTACATAAAACAAGTTATTGGACGAGACAAGGGACGAGCGCTGTTACATTTTAAACGGATAGACTTGAACGAACTTGGGTCTTCCCAATCATAAGAAACAGCTAACGCGGACTTGTAATAATTAAAAATAACTGATTTAAAGGAAGCTAAGGTCGATGAGATCAAATCTAGGTCATCCACTAAACAATTCCAAATTCCACTAGTTCTAATGAGAAAGGATTTCTGGTACGTAGTAGTTTTACATTTCTTAATTATGTATTTATTAACATTGCTGGTTGAAGATCAAGTGCGTCTACCGTATTTGCGAACTTCAAGTAGGACAAGGGAGTTGACGTTAACAAGACCATGTGTCGATTTGAAAAAAAAAGGTTAGATCTAAAAGTTCATGCCAGTAACAAATAGGTATTAGGTTTAGAGTTTGTAAACGAGACTTATAACTTATATTAGAAGAATAAGGCAGTTTTAACATAAACTTAGTCGCGCGTCTTTGGATACGCTCAAGCTTGACAATGAGCTCGATGGACTGCGGGGCCCAAATTTGTGTGGCGTATCCCAAATGTGGACTAACTAGCGCTAGGTATAGCGTTCGTCTTTCGTCGGTTCTAAGTATGAACCTCGTGTTCCCCTTTAAGTATCCAAGTAGTTTATGAGCACGCGTTGTACTTGTTTGTACCATGTCAGATCCTTACTAATCCATGCGCCGAGATCTTTTTCTGCAGAATGTAATACAAGTGCGGTGTTGTTGTGTTTGTAAGAGGATAAGATCGGCTTTGTTTATGTGCTGCGTCTTACACTTAGCTTCGTTAAAAAGGAGGCCGGATGATTGAGACCAAGTTGCAAGCTTACCAAGGTCTTTCTGGAGAGAAGAGGCACCCCCCAAAGTCTTTATCACTCTGAATATTTTTGTGTCGTCAGCGAACATCAATACTCGACTGCTAGAACTGATGACTTCGGAAAGGTCGATGACGTATAAGAAGAAGAGGGTTGGTCCGAGTATGGAACCTTGAGGTACTCCAGAGGTAACAGAAAGATCCTCTGAAGTGGCGCCGAGTACCGTAACGCGTTGGCGTCGACCTGAAAGTTAAGAGCAGAACCAGTTTAAGCAGGTGCCACCGAAACCGGCCTGGATTAGCTCATGAACGAAGCGCCTGTGACTGACTCTGTCGAAAGCTTTTGGCAGATAAAGATAGATGGTGTCAACCTGGCTGCCACTATCTAAATTAGTGAACCAATCTGGTCAAAAGCGTCAAGCATGTTGGTGACGCACGATCTTCCAGTACAAAAACCATGTTGTTTAGGTGAAATTACGTGGTACAGGTGGTCCTTGATGCTATTCAACACACAACGCTCAAAGACCTTGGACACTATTGGGAATAGAGAGATGGGGCGGTAATTTTCCACGTTGCCTTTCGCACCCTTTTTGTGGACAGGCACGACGTTAGCTAGTTTCCAGTCACTCGGGAGAGACCCTAGTTGCAGTGATTTGTTGAAGATCTTACATAAGGAAGGAGCAATCACTGAGGCGGTCTGTTTGAGCAATTTAGCAGGGATTTCGTCCGGTCCTGTGGCTTTACCGACTTTTAGTGTTTTGAGTGCAGCTAGAAACTTGGACTCATTGAGAGTTAGATCGGATATAACAGTGTCCGAACGTATGCACGCTGTCTTCTCCACTGCACTGTCGATAGTAAATACAGAGGCAAAAAAACTGTTAAACAGGTCAGCTATTCCCGCAGGTGTATCAGCACTTACTCTTGAAGGGTTCTGTGACTGGTCAGCGGAGTAGTCTGGGACGGTTACCATGGAAACACGGCCTGGGATGGGATGAGATTTAGAGTTAAGCTTCAAATTGACCATAAGCGCTTGGGATTGAATATAAAGCCAGTGTCTATGAAGTCGCAAAAGTGATAACGGCTTTCGCGAAGCAGTTTCTTAACTTGCGCCTGCAGAGACTTAAACTTATCCCTCAGGCGGGCGTTCGGATGTGACTTAAGTTTTTGGCGAACTGAGTTCTTTATCTTGATAAGGTTTAAAACGTTACTACTAATAGTAGTAATAAGTCCTTCCAGCACAGCCCGTCATCATCTATATTGTTAAGGCCCACAAAAGAAGAGAGATTGATTACCGAGAGAGCTTGACGCAAACCTTCATAATCGCCAGTTGCGTAGTCGTGCGCGGGTGTGACGACGCATTAACAAAAGAATTGTACCTTAAACAGGACTACACAATGATCCGTAAAAACACCAGCTTTATCAGGTGACAACACTTCGGTCACTTTGGTGTGTTCTAGGGCACTTGTTATCACTAGATCAAGAATGTTACTACCGCGAGTCAGTGTGTGGTTAATTTGCGTCAAGAAGTGGTCATGTAACGCCTCGATAAATGGCAGTTGCTTATCACCTGAAGCGCTATCCACGGAGTCCCAGGAAATGTTCGGCAAGTTAATGTCACCACAAATTACCATATTTTGAAACTGATCGCAGACTTGATCTGGAAAGGTGTTAAATAAATATACCCAACTAGGGTCTGAATCCGGAGGCCTGTAACAAGAACAGAATAATAATGTAATCTTCGGATCAAATTTAGAAGAAAATAACTGTGACTGTTGTGACCTTTTCAGATCCTAATTTTATGATTTTAAGATTTTTAAGATTTTAATATGTATCATCATGAATTACTATGTATTTTAGATTAGTGTGCCCAATTAGAATATATCATTATCATTAGTATTATCATAGATTATTATTATTATTATTATTATTATTATTATGTAATTTTAGATAAGTGTCCGCAATTAGCCATATACGTTTGACACTTAAAGTTCTTATATCTTATTATATAGTTATATCAGACATATCAAGACATCAAAATGGCAGTTTGTTCTGTTAAAATGATTAATCGCAAATATTTCTTGCTCAGTTGGGACTTCAAAAATAAACACATTGACGGGAACTGAAGCTTTTAGTGATTAAGGAACAGTGTTAAACGTTTTACGTTTCTCTTCCATGGCAGTTCGTTTCATTCACGAGAGCTTATAACTCGACTCCAACAGTTCTTGTCTCAGCCAATCACAGCACGACGGCATCTGGGAATTCAGCACCAAATCACAACGGAATTACAACTTGGATCGAGGTAAAATTTTCCGTAATTGCGGAGGATTGTGGGGATGTATCGAGGCAAACAAATTTCAAACCAAAACGCGACGAAAGATATAACTGAACAGAGACACACGCTTGCTTGAGGCGATGTATAGGTAGATAATAGGTGTGGCGCAAAAATGTGCCGAGTGGAAGTTGAGATTGCTTATTAGTTTCCTTTTGACGTTAATTATCGAATACGATTATGGTGTCGGTACAAAATAATATCTTTAAATTATCAGCAGGGGCCGCGCGCGGTAGGCTCGAACTTCAGATCTGATTGTGCGGTTTTTAACTTTAGAGCTGTTTCCTTGGACACAAAACTTTGCTCCAATCATTTGGCTGCTTTCTTCATCAACAGGGATCTTTAGCTCCGTCCTTCTGGGCCTCATAGCTCATTTGTGCCACTGCCGTGCCCCTTATTAGGGTAAAAAGGATATTTTGGATAAAATTTCGAACATTAATTCACCATATATTTTTTTATACCTTTGTTATTTCTAAAGGATTCTTTAATTACTTTCATCAAACCACAGTGTTAAGTTACAGCGAATCTACGCATCTCTATGTTACATAAGAAGACGTAGGAGAACGTTTTAAAAATATTCTGGTATTCTATTCCTGTTAATTCAGTTGTTTATGACTACAATTTTAGCTGTACTAAACTACGTTGAGTGCTTATTATTTTTTTTCAGAACATGAATACCTCTGGATTCAGAGCCTGTGTCAAGGAATTATACGGGACCAGATATGACCCCTTGTCCGTCGGTTATGCCGTGCTCACAGGTCTGTAATACTACTGAGTTCTCTCATGAAGTATTTTTTAGCAAATGAAAAAAGAAACGTTACTTGTTACCGGATTCATCTGGAAATACTTTGGAAATGCCCTAAACTAATAACACAATGCAAGTTGATGGTTTTCCAAGTCATCGCAGAGTCAAGAGAGTGTACCTGTTGACATAAAAAGATTCATGAAGTTCTTTCAAGTTATAATTTTCCTACCCCTCGAAGAATTTCACTATTTAATTAAAGGATAAATAACGAGGATGAAAGACCTTGCTAGAAATTAAAAGCACCATACTTAAAACAATCGTTTGAATAGTTCGGTGTATTTTATCTTTATGCGAGTGGTATATTCCTATCGCTAGTCTTCTATCCAATAATATCTTACTGTAGTACCTTGAAACCATTAAGCGTTGGAAAACATTTTCGCATCACGTTCCTAACAGTACTGCGAGTGAGATGCTGCTAAGGATTTATCAATCCGGCTGTTTATCTGAATTTCTATATTTATGACGCTTACGTTTATCTGTATTTCGCAGACATCTGTGAACCTGGCTGGAACTATTTCAACGGCTTTTGTTATTTCACAAGTAAGACTTGTCAAAATTGGACCACAGCACTGGATAAATGCCGACAAGAAAACGCGGTTCTTGTTGATGTCCAAAATAACGAAGAAAATGTGTTTTTACAGCATCTACACAATGGAGCAAAATCCTGGTTGGGATTGAATGATATTTTCACAGAGGGCTCCTTTACTTGGGCAGATCGTGGTACTGGGAACTTTACAGCTTGGGCTAAAACCCAACCGAACAATTTTCGGGATGAAGACTGTGTGCATACACTTGGTGTTGAATATAAATATGTATGGAATGACGTGAAATGCAGTGACTGTCATCAGTATACTTGTAAGAAAGGTAAGATGTGATGTATAAGTTTAGAAATGCACAAAATGGAAGAAAGTCTACTTAACAAAACGCATTTTCGTGTGTTAATCGTGATAAATATGTAGTTTGTTTTTTTCATTTTAAACAGATCTGAATGAATGCAGTAGCGACAAGTATTACTGCCATCAGGTCGCTAGCTGCACAAATTATCGTGGTTCATTTACTTGCACTTGTGATCAAGGCTACTTTGGAGACGGCTTTGAGTGCGAGCTCAATTACGCAAGTATGATCAGATATAAAATTGCAACACTGCATGTTAATGATGAATAGCAAGTTGATTTATAGTAATCTATTCTCACTGGAGCCATCAGCAAACAATGCCCGTAATTCCAATAATATATGGGAGACCCAGCCAGAGACGGTAGGAGCGGGAGCTCCTGGTAAACAGATAGTTCTTCAATGCGGAGAAATGGGTGGGTCGTGTAAAGAAATGTACGAAACACCGAAAAGCCTGAGCAGGCTATTAATTGCGAAGAGAAATTAGCGTTATACAAGAAACCCACCATGTACAAATAGGTATACGATAGCCACGGGCTATACGCGGCGTGCTAATATCACGCTCTTTTATTGCGGAGCCGTTCTAATGTTTTCAATGGCCATCATTTAGAAGCTTCTACTGGTTACATGCAACGTCTTAATTTTCGAGTGTCTTTTTATGATTTCCCAAACTCCCATTCTAGACGACACGCTATGGAGAAGAGTAGCTGCCCAGGCGACATGGTATCCTCCTCCTTCTTACTAGGCTAAAGTTTGCTGTTTAATTCGGTGGCCTGGTTAATAGCAGGGCTCCACCCGCGCGCGAAGCGCGCGCGTGGACGGAGCCCCATAGCTAAGGAAATGTGGTAATCTACCCATCCGAGAAAATTTGGTAATCACGTGACCGTACGCCCGACCGTCCGTCCGCACCACATGCGTACCAATGTTTACTCTCACACTTTCTAGCTAGTTTGGGAGCCCAATAGAAAACTAATTGCACAACAATATCGTGATCAATTGACAGCTGTCAAAACAGGATATCCGCTGACTAGTATCACCTGACCGTACCGCGGGCTCAAGTGTCAACCCATCGAGGTCCAGTACTTTTTTGAAGTTATCCGCTGACAAATTACCAGTTTCAAATGATCGCAGGCTCAAGTCTATTTTTTCCAATGATTCATATGAAGTATGTTGTGTTTATGTCACTATGGCCCCGCACTGTCAAGATTTTAATTTCAAACTGACCTCGGACGCGAAAATTCAGCCACTTTTTTAAAAATAAAGGCGGGGAAGACCTTTTCTTACCATGGTCACGCGTTGGTCACGCTCTACGTCCAATTTTTGTACTCTGATTGGTCAAAATGTGACAGGTGAGTTCATGCGGAAAATTTATGCAGCATCTTGAAAGTTGTTTACTTTGACAGCAAAAGCTGACAGAGTTTTGTTTCAACTTGTGATGTTTTTAACTGTCTAAATCCTTTTCCACTGGATGTACAAAATGAAATACAGCTGCTATCAAGAGTCTTCTGTTATCCATGGCTAGTTTGTTTATTGGGTTTGTGGTTGATAAATGCGTCGCTTGTCAAAATTGAGTAATCCGATTTCGGATGGCATCGTTTTCGTCTTTCACCTTGCTCAATGCGTAAGAAGGTTTAAAAGTCTCAAGCAACTATGGCCTTCCTTGATATCTTTCAGGAACTGAATCGCGAATGGTAAGCCTGAGTAATTATTGTATTTGATGTTTGTTTTTGTTATATCTAATTTCATGAAGTCGAGCACAGTTGATGCGGCAAGTTTTTGCACGTTTGTTGAGATTTGAGTCAATGATCTGATCTAGTATCAGGTTTGATATAAGGTTACAGAACTTTAAATGGCTTTCAGATATATTTTCTCACGGCAAATAGAAAAAAAAACCGTTCCGAAGAATATTTAGTTATAAATTTGGCTGTAGAAAGAAAACTTTGAGTGATTTTCTTGTTTCGAGGAGTTCATCTTTGAAAAAACAAAACAAACACCGGGAGGCCGGCTGAAAGTAAAAAAAAATAAACTTAAGCTTAAGCTTTAAGCTTAAACACTCAGGATTTTTAGAGCCACTTTAATACTTGTCTTCGTGAATGAAAATTGTTGTCTCTGTAAATGTTTTACCGAATTATATTTCTCTTATTGATTGTTAGTAGTTTCTCTTGCAATTTTAATCGCTTGTCTGTGGTGTTTGTTTTCATCGTTCATGAACATCGCTTGCAGGAGTACTTAGAAATGTCGCGCGTATCAAACGCTTTATAAGATTACACATCGTTATAACTGGACCCATTAAATAACAAAAAATAATGATAATAAATTCGTTATTATGTTGAAGCGTATCTCCATTAAAGTTCATTCAAACACTTGACCACACTGACAGCTCGCACTAAAAATGAGAACCGGCTGGCCGTATGAGTGATTTTAGAAATTTTTTGAACGGTTACGCTAAAAGCCCACGATTGATCGTCCTGAACATTGAAAAATTGTGAAATGCCGTATTCTGTTCGAGGTCTGTATGATAAAAAGTACTATTTCACCTCAGATGTGATGTATAAAAAGTATAAAAAGTTGGTTTACACACCCCCAGATTTGTTGGCAAGAATTTGTAAAGTAAACCTGTCGAACGCAAAAAAATGCGGCCTGATTTGTTTTCCAAGAATTTGTTTTCGAGGCCTAATCTACTGTGCTCAAGAGCCATTTTGGCTCTTGAATGTGATAGAAGATGTTTGCTAGTTTTTGGGTGTACATATATTTAGGCTATCAACTCGATGTAAGATGTTTCACTCTAAAATAACTTATCCTTTCCCTCAAAAGTCACATGAATGTGCCCTTAAGTTAACTGATTTGTGGATTACAAGTTTATTGTTTGATTTAAAATATAAATTTATTAATGGAAGCTTCGCTTTTAGCCCTGGCTAAATCTATACATTATTTTGCATATTCGGCCTTATTATTACCCCTAGTTTTAGACTCTTGTTGTAAGGAAAGTCATTCGAGAGTTGATAATATTGTCTTACAAGGTAAGAATCCGATTCGCACTGAAAAAGAGCTTTTAAATTCCCGGGTCCGTTCGTTCACTTTCACTACTAACCACCGCCCGATTAGCTCAACTGTATAAGCGTCAGTCTGCCAACCGGGAGGCCACCGACTCAGGGTCTTTAAATTGCTGAGGCGAAATTGTTTCATTTGAAAAGACATCTGCAAATGGTTAAATTTTTTAGTCTTCTCAGATAAGTACAATAAACCGTAGGCCCCGTCTCATAACCGTTGCACTTATATTATTTTGGGACGTTAAAGAACTCACGCTCTGTTCGTAAAGGTTAGGGGACGCATTCTCCGGTGTTGTGGTCTATCTCCCGTGGTGGACTTTTGCAGTGACCCTGCCAAGAATTAGTGAACCAAAGGAAATAAATTAGTAATAACTTTGTCTCTAACGTTTGTAGGGGGTTTGAAACAGTCTACTATTGTGGGGAATGATGCTAGCTACTTGCAATATTTAAGCACCTGGCTCAAACCAGTTGCTCAGAGCAAATCCTCACGATGGAAGCGTTGTTGGCGGGCGTCCGTAGACGGCTGGGCTGCAAGTACTTTTCATAGCCGTTGTGACAACATAGGACCAACTGTAACAATCATAAGAGTCGGTGGGAAATACATATTTGGAGGCTACACCAGCCTCTCATGGGGTAAGTGGTTTGTTAACTCTAAAACTGTGCATATTAGCATGTAAAATTGTCGAAGGAAGTATTTGAAGTAGAAAATGTTATTACCACGAAGAGGACTAAAAAAAAACTCATTCACGCAACTTTATCGCCCTTATTCCATTTCGGTCAATTCGCCAAATGGAAGTGAATTATTCTGGGTTTAAATTCGAAAAGTCTCTACCAAATATTGGAAAAAGAAAATCGTTGTCTTGTGTTCACGTACCCCATAAAACTGAAATTAGGACGTTTTACATCGTTTTCGTTCTGCGAATTTGCCGACACTTAAATTCTTTGCCGATGTATTTTCTTTTCAGAGTTGTTCCTATTCTAAAGTGTTTTTCAGGCAAAGTATTCCTCACTGTTGTCTCGAGTGCTGTTGTAGTTTTAAAAATCAGTAAAAAATACTAGAACGCGAGTTTGAAATGATCAGTTCCTATAAGGCTTCCCTTTTAAAACTAAAATGAAAACTGTATGTAAATAGTGAAAGTTAGATGGTGAAAATTACCACTTCTAATCAAGTCTTTTCTTGTTATAGTTCACACACAAAAAAATAAACTGGGAGAGTATTTTAATCAAACCTACGTATACTGATATCAACCTGAATAATAGCATAGTATCTTACGTTTCCTGTTCTTATCTGACCTATCGTATGACGCACGCTTAATTTTACTTTAGCGAGCAGTCAGTCCAGTCGATGCCCAGGCACTACCACGATTTTAAATGTTCTTTTTTTTTAACTTTTCAGTTATGTTTTTAATGCTGTAGTCAATTACTTATACATTATTAATGTAAATTCATTTTGTATCTTTTAAATACATTTTGTATCTTTTTCATTTAGAATCTTATCGTATCTTTTTAGGGTTTTCAAGTTATTGTAGTTGTAAATTTTAAGTAGTTTTTTCTTATGTTTTATTTTAGTTCTACATCATAATCATTTTTACACGGCTCCTCAAGAATGGAGCTTTAAGTCTTTAGTGTTTAAATAAAAGAAATGATGATGATGATGATGATGTTGATGATGATGATAATGTTAATGGCTTATGAGTGAAAAGCTTCAGTGTGAATCGGTGTATTTAAAAAAGCTACACAAAGACCGAGCAGAACGGGGGCTGCTCTAGTGTCAACTATTACAAGTGTGTGTGTCTCTCTCTCTCTTTTTTATACATACAAGTTTCCCTTGCACGATTTTTTCATGTTCTTTGTCGCCAAAAAGCAAAACCGTACCCCGTTTTTTAAGTCATAGCTGGACTACGACCAAGACGGCAGGGCGTAGTTCGGAAGTTAATTTGGAAGTAAATTGGAACCTCGGTATAACGAAGGACAAAGAGACCGGCAGAATTTGTTCCCTATATAACTAGGTTTCGTTTGTTGAGATTCTTTTCCATACATTTTACTACAACTGGGGTAAAGAAAATCGTTAGTTACATCAAGGAATTTGTCATATCGAGGTTCCACTCGGCGATAGTAAGCAATAATTAAACAATCCAAACCTTTATATCGGGGTGCCGACAACTGAATAATATTTTGCAATTTTATCACTCTGATCAATATTTTTTTTGCGTTTAGCTTTTCAAATAAGTACCAGTTTCTTCCTTCCAAAAGTAAATACTTAAGTAAGAAAAAAACACTTTTCACGAGACTAATGTCTTTGCTACTTAAAAGGGAGTTAATTATTACTTAACTAGTAGCATCAGTATATTCTCTTGTCTGTATGAATTCGAATTTTTAACGAATTCTGTACATCGGATTTTCCTTTTCATTTCTTGTTTTCCCAACAGGTTCCAGCTGCCAGTATAGATATGATTCCCAGGCATTCCTTTTCTCGCTGGTAAACAAGCCAGGATTGGCACCTGTGAAACTTCCTGTGTATAGAAATTACGGTAATGCCATATACGACTGCTCGTCTTATGGACCTACTTTCGGAGGAGGCCATGATCTTTTTATTGTCGACTACGCGTCATCCAATGGAAATTCCTATACTTACCTTGGTCAGGCTTACAGCCCACCAAGTGGGTACAGCTATGGAAGCAGCTCCACCTACACTTTTCTGGCAGGCACTTATACTTTTACTCCAGACGAAGTAGAAACATTTTACGAAACAACATAAAAACTGAGGCATTTTATACAGCTTCAAACTTGACAGTCAATTAATTTTACACTTATTGATTAAACCAGGATAATATTTGTTTTATTAACAAGGCAATAACAAAAGAAATAGATTTTCATAAGGATTGATTAATAGTAGTATAGGACGTTTATTGGTTTCTGAGAAACCGGGTCCCATTTTCCAAATCGGATTCGAATAAGCACTCGGACTAGAAGTAGAAATAATAATAATAGTATTCTTTATTAATTCATAAGATAAAAACTACATATCTTATGTGACAAAACTTCCAATTTTGACTGAGTAACTTACATTGTAATAATTACAGAGCTAAATTACATTGAAATAATAATGAAACAATCTAAAATTTACTAACTCATTTACAAAATACCAATTACAAAGCTAATTAACATACTAGGAGTAATCTGATCGATCCGTGTTCAATTTCGGTCGGTGACTAGATTTTTGTCTTAGCTTGTATTCTCTGACCTTCAGCTTAGGCGTAAGGTTTCTCAGAGGATGTTTGTCTTGATGTCTCACTACCTTGTCGAAAATTTTCCTATCTTGCTTTTCTAAGAGATCATGCATCTATGCTAAACGCCTTAGATATGTATCCCCGCTTGTGACAATAGTCTAGGAAACACTGAGCTCTACACAGCGCTGTATAGACCGAAAGACCATAGGTCAAATCGGGAATAACGAGTTTGAAACAAATGGTCTAATTCTACCTGCCTGAGTTTAATCCTCCCTCCTTATCAACGATCTCAGTATAAAAAGACAATAGTTAGCTTTAATTAGCTTATTCCGTACATGTGTGGTAAATCGGCAATTTTCCTGGAAAGTAACACCTCGAGTAGAGAGCGCTCTGGTTTGCGATATACCTGACACGAGAAGAAAAACCTGTGTTCAACCTTTCTTCTTAGAAATTGAAGTTGAACAATTTTTTGATGGTAGCCATTTGTAATACGGCAATCAGCCAAAACAAAATTAAGTAAAAGACACTGCAAGGAAAGATAGCACCAACTACAATTCATTTATTTCAAACATTCAACATATAATTAAAAAAATCATGTACATTCGCAGACTCTGGAAGAGTGGAGCAGATTCTTTCCAGAAGAAATTTATCTTATAAACGTCGTGGTCCTCCACTCAGAGCCAAAGAAAAGGTTAAACAGCATCTCATCAGAAACAATTTAAATTCCTGTCAAAAACAAAAACCACAGGAAATAATTGATTATTAATATAGGTCAGACTGAATTTCAGCGGTCTCCTCGAGTGGCAAACTCCCTAGGCAGACGTCTGATTAAAGGATAGGTCAGAAGACGTTAGCTTACCTTTTGCGGTTTTCCAGAGCACTGGATAATATTTTACCAGGTATGTAACAGGACCACATGACGCCGGTTTGATCGGTCCGGTCAAGTTCATACAGTTCGATTCTCAGTAAGCAAAGGCGATTCGCAACTGCACTGTACAATTTTATTGCAGTCAATGTAACAAGTACAGTCAACTCTCGTCTTGCGGACACCCGCGGCCGCTATCACGGAAATTCCGATAATAGGGACAGGTGCTGAATCCTAGGAAAAAATAAATTACAGACATTTGACATTCCGCTATTAAGGACTCCCACTAATGAGGACACTAACCCAAGGTCCCTACAGTGTCCATTATAAAGATAGTTGACTGTAACTCCTCTGCGCTCTTTCTTATTCTTGTATGTTATCAAATACATGCAATAAGCCATTTTCGAGTGGCCCCAACCCGAGGTTAAGTGCGAAGCCATTGATATGAAAATAACTTTTTATTCTCACGCAAATAAAACTCTTTTGCACAGCAAAGGTTTCGCACTTAGCCCCGTTTTTAAAGTGAGAGTTTGTGGAACTCGGAAATGGCCTATTCACCATGCCAAGAAATCTGCACAGTAAACGTGCGTCCGCAGGTACGTCCGGTATGTCACACACGTGTCATGAATATGCACAAACGGATTCGTCAGAACACCCACACCAATGTAGCCTGCGTTAGCAGGCGCTTGGAAGTAGTGGCCACAAGAAAAAAAGGGCGTTCGAAAAGGAGACACGCGAGGGGAGAGGGAGCGCCTTCCCGGAAGACCAACGAAAATCGTTTTCCACCCGCAACCTAATTACCTGCTAGCCGTTACGTGATCTGTCAAAAGTTTTGACGGAAAACGACTGACCACGCACAAACAAAGCGGGCCGCCAAAAAGCGTTGTACATTTTATCTTCGGTCCAAATATATCTGTTATAAAGATCAGCTGGGTTAACTGATTATAGAGCGATCAGCCTGTAGCTAGAGCGATGGAGCAATAAACTGATAGTTAACACACAGCTTTAAATCGTTTTTAACCACAGGCACAATAAATCAGGGGCACCCAACGACAATTTTCAGAAAATATCTGTTCGGAAGACGATTTGAAAACTAGAATTTTCAGAACATTTGTTGTAAAATTTTTCGCTTGCCTTCCTCTCCTAGGATGTTTGAACATCTAAAAACTAATATAATTGCCCATTTTTAACGGATTTTTACCCTTAAAAGGTCACCTAGAATTTTCGGGAGCCTTTTTTCTGGCTGAAATTTTCGAAAAGCTTAGTTTTGATCCCTATAATTTTCGGATCACTAGACTTTCAGCTAGGAAATTCGAACAGATGAAAAATTTTTAGGGGATAAAAATATGCCTATATCTACTGCTTAAATACTAAAATACGTTTAACAATGCTATGTTAAAGTGGTTTCGAGCTATATTCTTCCGTGGGTGCCCCTGATAATTAGGAAATAACAAAGCCAAAACTGGGTATCTTTCACAGAATGCCTGCTATGTATTATAAAAAACTAAAAATATTGTTTTCCTAGCTTTAGCCACAACTGTCGAGACACCAACGATCACAGCGTACGTGGAAAATGACCATTGCTTTTACTGCGCTAAGTGGCAGCCGTTTTTGGAGCAGACATAGCCTGCGTAGTTGGCGGCATTGTGTAGTAGTCGAGTGAGATTTGACGGCGGAGCCGTCACGAGCGGCGAAGCCGCGAGAAATACAGGTATTTCAACAGCCTCGTCCCTACTCCCTTTTTTTGGAACACGGCTCCGCCGCCAAAATTTTAATCTCGATCGCACCCACACAATACCGCCAGCTACGCAGGCTAGAGCAGACATGTCTTACTAAGCGGACCTAAACTTCAGAATACAAACTGTACCGACACTTTTTCTACTGCAGTAACGAGACATAAACAACAGACCTCAGGTCGCCTCCGAACAGCGAATAGTACAATAGTGAAATGTTTTTTCAAATTCATGCCCCTGGTAAGTGTTAAATTTCATCAATCATGATGGTATACGTTCCATCGACAGCACAAGCCGCCAAGTTCTCCTGAGCAAAGAATATCTCGTCTGATCTTCATTGCAACGATTCGACAAATCTTTTGTCTCTTGCCACTTCTGCTACTTCGTATCTGATGTCAATTCTTTCCATCGTGAATACCGTTTGAACACTCCAACTTTTCTTTGAGATTACAGCCACATAGTCCCATTAAACCAGATTGAAGTGACCTCCGAGACCTGAACTTCGATTGTATACAATTTAGTGGTTTCAGGAGCTAATATGTGGCGTAATATGAGATCTTCAGTACGTTGTCCAAGTACCATTGATTGACAGTTTTGTCGCCCCGCGCGGTTAATTTTTCCCTCGGGAGTCTCTCGGCCAATTGGAAATATCCGCACTCACAGAATGTGAGTTGAAACGATTTTCAGGGGCCTTCCGTGCAGGCGCTCCCTCACCCCTCGCGTGTATCCCTCGCGCGCGCCCGTTCTCTCTTTCGCCCACTAGTTCAAAGCGCCTGCTACGCAGGCTAACACCAATCGTACCATTGGCAAAAGAATACGATTTCTCAAAGAAGCCTTGCGACTCGTACAATTTTCTACGAATGGTAAGCCAGTCCTTAGTCTATTGGTATGTCACCACTTTTGCTCCTTAGCGGCTCAGGCGGTTTCAAGAAATGCTCTTTGGCGCGAAGTTAGATTGCATCTTATTACAGGGATACCCAACGAATTTATTCTGCGACATAGCTGGATAACTGTCTGGATAAATGTTAAAGTCGCCTAAGATATGCGAAATCTTTTTTTTTTTTACTAACGTTCCTACGTTTTTCAGAGACTTTTGCCAGTTCATATTTTATTACTAAGATATCGAGAAAATTGTCACAAAAAGAGTCTTCTGCAAATTTCGGTATAACAAAACGTCGCTTATGAAAGGACAGCTACTCCCGACCATGCATGTCCTCGAACTTAGTCGTCCAGACCCATCAGGATAGCCATCTAAAACGTAATCAAACAGGCTTCTAAATCAAAGAGAAAACCATCTATGATACTTCTGACCAATTTAAAAATAAAAATGGTCGTTGGGTGCCCGTATGTCATCATTAACACCTGAAAGCCGTGCAAGATCCATCCATCCAAGGAACTGTTGCTTTGAAAGAGCTCTAAATGTGTTTGAAAAAAAAAATGTTGTAAGATTACAAGGACTGCAAAAAGTTAAAAGCAATCACTTTTTTTTACGCCTCGGGCACTTCCATACCCGGATGATACAGCTTTCCAAAGGTATGTAGAGGTTATAGATGAAGCCTGTGAAGATGGTTTTGCGCTAAAAACAAAATCATCAATTACCGTTACTAGTCAAATGTTGTGTATATGGATTAAGGTTTTGTCTTGCACATAATCCCACCGAAGAGAGACTAAAGGTAACAAACTGTTCCATCACTTATTTTCAGAAACATGTTAGTCCTTCATCAGTAAACAACAACAACAACAACAACATAAGCTTTATTTGCATGACTATAATTATGTAGTTACAGTATTCTTCGCAAGTCTTTTGACCACAACGTGACAAAAGGGGTCAAGGAATTCATCAAAACCCACGAAAAGAAACTTAAAAACCTCACGAAAAACTCGGTCCTACTTTCACGTCAGATGAGGTTGTCACCAATCTTTCATCTGT